GAGAGAGATAGAGATAGAGATAGAGATAGAGATAGAGATAGAGATAGAGATAGAGATAGAGATAGAGATAGAGATAGAGATAGAGATAGAGATAGAGATAGAGATAGAGATAGAGATAGAGATAGAGATAGAGATAGATAGAAGGCAGAAAAATGAAGAATGCAGTCAGAACTGAAGATAACGCGCACGCGAGCGACTGCACCACGCATGCGCAGCGGCGGTCCAGAATTTTTCGTGCATATTTCCTCCGAGGTCATTTTTGCTTTCGCTAGTTGTCATCTTTTGCCGCTAGGTGGCGTGATGTGGTAGCTAGCTGCCGGTGGGCAGGCCGCAGAGGGTTTTGCTGCCCGCATGATACGTAAACTAAACCAGCAATACGATAGTAAGAGATAAATGAAGGAACCCTGATAATAAATAAATGATAATCCATCAATGGTTCACTCTTGCTTATATATAGCGTCAGATATTGTCCTCGTGTGTATCCATCCACCACTATGCGGGAGCTAAACAGTTTTCGCGTCGGTGGAAGTTAGGCGGGGAGGGGGTCTTGCACGATTATCCCGTCCTAAATGGTCCTAACCACGCATGGCCTGGCAGCAGCACTGCAGGGTAAATGTTTTCCCCAAAATGTTTCTCTCATCATCACACAATCTAGTCGGCACATCGTTTGCCGAGATTTGTGCTCGAGGGCATCCATGCGGTACTAGAACCACCTACGTGCTCCAGGAGATGGCGTAAATAGATAGACGGGTTGCTGCTGTCAGTCGCAGCAGGGTGGGGTCGCGTGTGATATAGCGGCGGGCCTGATCGTGGGTGGTGCTGCCACCTACAGGTGGGCATTGATATCACGCTCGCCTCCTGAAGGTCTCTCTTTGTCTTGCGACTAGCTGCGCGCGTGAGAGTGTGTTGTTACAAGCGTGACACTATTTTTTCGGGGCTAAGCGTAAACGCAAACCTGCGAACTAGCAGTTGAAAGGCGACACTGCAGCGCAAACGTCAATTATCTAGTGTGACCAGCAGTGGGTGGGTGTTTGGAGAAGAAGGCTGAATGACAGGCGCGAAAAAGGTGGGAAGTAGATGAACTCCGGTGGAATGTGAACGAATGTACAATCGAGAGATATGGGGAGGGAGGGATGGTTAGGAAGAGAGAGGGAGAGAGAGTTGACGGGTAGTCAGAGAGTGCGAGAAAGAGAGAGAGAACAAGGGAGGGAGAGAACTAGAGAGAGAGAGCGAGAGAGAGAGAGAGAGAGAGAGAAGAGAGAGAGAGAGAGAGAGAGAGAGAGAGAGAGAGAGAGAGAGAGAGAGAGAGAGAGAGAGAGAGAGAGAGAGAGAGAGAGAGAG